AATTATTCCTCTGCTGGGTATTTTCTCACAAGTATAAAAATCACACCATGGTGATCAATGTCCACGCATGTTCATAGCACCACAATTTGTAATAGCTAAATGTTGGAAACAAACGAAATACACATTCACCATGGAAAGGATAAAAAGATTTTTTTAATATAATGGACTATGACTCTGCTATAAAGAACAACAAAAGAGCCTCTTATAGGTAAATTGACGTACCTTGAGGCAAATTAACTTTGATCACAGAAAAAAGCTGAAAACTTTTACTCCATCCCTACCACATTTTATATTATGAGTTTCATCATTTATATGGCTTATATCTTAAGTATTATAGTGGTCAGTGCCTTTCATAATTCAGATTTAAATTTCATATTATAGATATAAGTCATATATACACCATCATTATGATATGATAATATTCTAAATTTACAGTGCACCAGTAAGTTCATTGTTCATATATTTTCAAATTTCTAACCTTGTCCTTTTCTTTCAGTCAGAAGACCTTTCTTCAGGAGTTCTTATGAGGTAATAAATGCTAGTGGTTCTGAACTGCCTCACTTTTTTTTGTCTCTCCTCCATCTCTGAGGTACAGCTAGCCAGATAACTTTATTTGCTAACTTGTTAGTTTTTTTTTTTAGGAAAAGCTTTTCTGTAGATTCCAGACTAGCCTGAAACTCGGGCTTTTTTTGTTTGTTTCTTTGTCCCAGTCTTCTGAGTTTTGGGATTCCAGACCCGGACTACTATGCCTAACCTGAAACTTTTTGTGTTTGGCAGTGTCCATTTCCTGTAGCGTTTTAAATAGATCATCCTACTTCCTTGTGTATTGGAGGGTTCCTGCTCAGAAAACTCATGGTAGCCTGATTCATGTCCTTTATATGTAATATATTTCTTTTCTCCTCCTGGTTCAAGATTCTATTCCTTTTTGTATGCTGGCAATTGGAATATAACTTATTGTAATCTTCATTTGATTTAATCGTTTGGGAGGTTTTTGATTTTCCTCTATCTTGACATTTACACATTTCTTCAGATTCAGAAATTTTAGGTATTTCTTTCTTTAAATGGATTTCTGTCCCTCTCGTGTTCCAGGACACAGAGTGGCACAGCACCTGCTACTTCTTAACTCTTAGACATTCAATGCTAGCAATTTTGATGCTGTGTCATAAACCTTACAAGCTGTCTGCATTCTTTCTCCACATTTTCTGATTTCTGTCCTTGAAAGTTTTTAAACATTTTGTCTTTGATTCCACATATTCCCTTCCAACATCATAAAATTTTCTCTTCACTCTTCATTACTATTTTTATTTAATTCATAGTATTCATCAACTCTTGAACTTAATTTTTTAGTGACTGAGTCTCCATAAAACTTCGAATTAGGGTCACTGAATTCTTTCCTAACACTACTGCATTGTTTCTTGTATATTCTTTAAGTTTTCTGACCTTTCTACAATGACAATTTTGTGTTCTTTAGATGATTTTTACATGACCATTCCTTTTGTGTCAACTGCAGTGAAATGAATATTTTCTTCAGTCCTAAAATTTCTTCTTGGCATATTGAGTTTCTTGATGTCTTGCATTGAAGTTAGTGCATTTAGTGGAACATTATCCTCTTCTAGTCTTAGAGCCTGGTTTTGATGGGGAAAAGACTTTGCAGCGTAGGGTGGGAACATAAGGCCAGTCCAGTTTGTACTTGCCGAAGGCACAGTAGTGTAGGATTTATGCAGCATGGTGTTTGAGATGAGTGTTGACAAAGTATGCCGAGATGTGTGCTGTCAACCTCTCCCATGAAGAGCATTGTTATGTCTTCAGAAGCAATGACTGTCATCATCTGTTGAATTTTGTCCAATCCCTCAATCTCTTTTATCTCCATGTGATCAGGAAACCCTCTTGAAATTGAGCATGGTCTTCAGGCCCTTCTCTCAGGCAGTGTCACTGGTGTCCAAGTTGTGGAACTCATGGAGTCAACGGGGAGCCAAGTTCTAAAACAGGAGCACCCATGAGTGACTATATATTGGGTCAGGGATTACTATGGTAACAGTACCCAGGATATTTGCTTCCCAGGATCAAGTTAGTAATGATATTTAAGTTTGTAGAGCTGTCACGAGCCCAGAGATGGGAATATGTGTGTGTATTGGCTACTGTGGCATTGAGTTCAGGGTGGGCCTGCAGTCCAGGGCGGCAGAATTCATGCCTCAGGAATAGGCACATACACGACCAGGACCCATGGCATGAGCTTGGTCATGATGGCTGTGAGTATGACCTTGGAGGCACGCTTGTGCAGTGCAACCTCAGAGCCATGTATGGAATATAGGGTAGCTCTCATTGGGGGTTGAATCGAAGTGTTGACAAGGAAACCTTGTCAAGAGAGAAGCGTTGGCTCTGAAATCTGGATCAAGTTACTTCACTATCCACTGGCTCCAATGTATGGGATGTGGTCTCAGAGAACAGTGCACTCTCCGAGCCAGGTTTGCAGTCTGTGCAGTCTGGGGAGTCAAAGCTTAAATCTCAGGTGGATGCACACCCTGGAAGGAAGTAAAAGAATGGGAAACAGAGTGGGGCACCGTAACTGCTTCCTGAATGGCAAGTGTCTGTAGACACATCTCCATCTTGGGGTCCCTATCAGAAACGATTTTAGGTTCCCTTATAGTCAAATGGTTGTGTTGTCCTTAGCAGTCAGCTCATGGAGGAATATGGTGTCTCTTGCCTCACAGCTAACACCAAAGCCTCAACTTCCGTCACACTTATCAGTCATCTCCAGGCAGCTCAGCTACGCCATGCTCACCAGCAGTGTTTCTATGCACACATACTCGTGTTGATTCTGCTCCTCTGTACTTAAATGAACACTTGAGTTCTCCCAGAACTACCTTGGTGTTTGGTTTCCTATTTATGTCTTTGTTTTATAATATTTGTAGATTGTGGTAATTAAGAAAAAAACTGACGTCTTCCACACTATAGCCCTGGTTAAGTTTGACTATTATGTTTTACTGTAAAACTTTCAAAAGTATATAAAACTTTATGGAACAAGAAATTTTTAGTTGAGATAAGTACACCTACAACATTATTCATGTAAAATTAAAAGATTCAGTGGCATGTAGAACATTCAAAATATATGTAATTGTCGCCTCTATTTAGTTTCAAGGCATTTGTGTCACCTCAAATGAATCCACTTAACCTTCACTCAGGTGCTCCACAGTCCCTCCATCACAGTTCCTGTACTAGTTTATAAAAAATGAAAACTATTTTAATTATGAATAAATTAAAGTCAATACTCACAGAAAAACATGCACAAAGTTGTTCGGAGGAGTAAAATCGCAATAGTAAAAAATGGACACTACTCAAAGGTCACCACAACGGAAGACTCTTGATCCTTGAGTGCTTTTTCCCCACTTCACCCATTACAATCCCTTTTGTAGCCCAAAAGAAATAAACATAAGTATTCAAGCAAACACTTAAACACAACAGTACTGTTCACAGTATCAAAAGATGGAAACTGTTCAAAAGCCCATGGAAAGATTTTGGATAAGCAAATTGTAGTATATCTGAGGTAGATCAAATTGTGGCTAAAGTTGTGTTAAAGACATAGAAACAATTGATTTTAAATTATGTATTTCTTTAAAATTGTACATGTTACCCTTTCATTCTGAGGCAGGTTTCCAATTATAGTGCTTAACATTTCAAACTTAAAGAACTCCAAAAAACAGTGACCATGCAGTTACTGCTCATTGTGGAAAAAATCACTAGCAGAGGAATTATGCTAGCAAGCCAAATACTTCAATACAAGGAAAAAGAAACAAACTTATACAATGTTTTATAGAAATCCTTAAACACACTCAGCACACACTAAAATACACATTCTGTTAGATGAGCCTTCTATTCTTTAAATTGTTTCCTATTTATGGTCCGACAATCACCCCAACACAGCCATTCATGTTTCCCACACTTGCAGAACAATGTTGTGAAAGCAAATGACATAGATGCCTTCAACCACCTATGTCAAAAGATCATCTGTGCCAGAATTTTGTCTCCAATCCCTCATTTCTTCTTGAAATCTTTGATACCGAAGTGACAGTTGCAAGTGTAATGAACTCTTCCTTTAGACAGATTACTACTTTCTATCGAGCATGTTCACATTGTGTTTCTGTCAGTTAGTATCCAGACCATCATTTCAAGCCAGCCTGAAAGCCGTCTCTGGAAGGGATCACACCCAAACCTCTCACTCCACTGACATAGAGACTCACTCACAGATCCACTTGAAGAGATTTTACAGGCACAGTTAGCTTTCTTTTCATTTTGGTTTTGATTTAGCTCAATTTCTTTAAATTTTCTGCAGCAGGGAAACAATAATAAAAACTCAGTTCCTTCTTGTAAGTCTCATTCCTTTCCTACGGTCCTCCACCTTCATCTCTCTGGCTCTGCCCAGTATGGCAGACCAATGAAGCAACAGAGACTTTCAATTTGACCTAAAGGCAGCATATGCATCCCAAAAAATAGAATTAGAATTGTAAACATATGTATTAATATATCAAATGTGCAGTATTGAAAACAAGTATATTTCATCACTTTAAGGGATGAATTACAGCCCTCTAGAATTAAACTAGCTGACACATTAAATCTGTCTTTGGAGCATTCTGCGATTCTCAGTGTGCATGAATGTTTTCTCCGGTCCATGCATTTATCTCAAGTACATATTTTTCATCACAGACTTTTGGCTTTGGAAGTCAACATATCAAACAAATATGTATATATTAGACTCTTCATTGCATATGTGGAATTTTATTTGTTTTGAATTGATGAAACAATACAAGAAGATATTTTCTTCACAATATGAAGAAAATTATTGGATATTTCAGAGTGGATTATAGGGTATATAGGCTAATATTCTAACACAACAGAAAAAAAAACAGACATCATCACAAAAGTATAGTAGATGACCCTAGAAATAGACAAGATTTGGTATCTGTGGAAAGGAAGGTGCATTGCTCCTTTAAATGTTTGTGATATTATTTCTGCAGCTTCACACGGGACACAGCATCCCTCAGTGCCTGGTGCACCTGCTTGTTACGCAGGGTGTAGATGACAGGGTTCAGCAGCGGCGTCACCACCGTGTTCACCAGAGCAGCCTCTCGGTTGGTGTCTAGTCTGCTTCTTCGCTTTGGCTTTATGTAGATGAAGATGCAGCTACCATACATCAACGAGAGGACAAGGAGGTGAGAGGAGCAGGTGGAGAAAGCTTTCTGCCACTCACTGGCTGACGGGAGGTGCAGGATCGTGACCACTATGTTGCTATATGCGATGACAGTCATAAAGAAAGATGTAAAAAGGATAAAGGAGGCAATATTGTAGAAGAACATTTCAATAGATCTGCTTTCCGGACAGGAGAGCCTTGCCAAGGGTCCCAAATCACAGAAGAAGTGAGGGATGACGTTGGGGCCACAGAAGGTCACCTGGGACAGCTTTATGACCGGAATCACCATAAGCAGAAATCCCAAAGAGAAACAGGCAGTGACCAGCAGGACGCACATTCTTGGTTCATGATGGTGAGGTACTGCAGAGGATTGCAGATGGCCAGGTATCGATCCAGGGACATCACGCCCATCAGCAAAAAAGCAGTTGCACCCAGGAAAATGAAAGCAAATGCCTGTGTGAAGCAGGAAGCAAAAGAAATAATTTGTTTCCCTGACAGAAAGATGGTCAGCAATTTAGGAATAATCGTGGTGATGCAGCCACATTCACAGAAGGAGAAAGCGCTGAGGAAGAAGTACATAGGGGTGTGGAGGCGGCGGTCAGCCCAGGCGATGGTGATGATGAGCAAGTTCCCCGTGACAGAGGCCAGGTAGGCCAGCAGGTGCAGCAGGAAGAGGACCTTCCCCAGGTGCTGGACTGCAGGGAAGCCCTTCAGGGTGAATTCCTGGACAGCTGTGCTGTTCCCCGCCCCCACCATCACTGCCTTTTCCATTTCATCCATCCTTTGTCATTGCCCTTTGGGCACAGTTCCTGCCTAAAGAATACAGAGCATTAATTTATTAAATATATAAAATATCCTCAGCATTGTTCGTGGGTTTGCCTACTAGTTTTAAACACTTTTGTCTCATAAATTAGAACTGTGCATGTAGTTAAGGTAATTGAAACATTACTGGTCATTTTCACATAAAGTATATGCCCAAGTAACAAAAGGCTTTTAGTTATTAAGACAGGAATGTTATAACTGCATTAAAGAAACTTTAACATGGATTACAGCGGGTTAGTGAAGTGCTTATCAAGCATGTATTGCCACATAATGCAATCTTAACACCACACACACACATGCACACATAGAAACACGAACACACATGCATGTTCACCAATATGAACACACACGCTAAGATATGGGATACTGTCATATCTCCAAAAATTATATTATTATATCCTAAGTGTTCTTTTTCATGTTTTGGACTACAAATAGATAGGTAGGACTATTTTCTATAGTTCTCAGCCAGCAGCAATAAATTTTAACAGTCACAAATAATCTCTAATAGGCTTGTTAGAGAATCAGCCCAGGTATTTTTGACACATAGCCTGATGTAGGTCAGTTTGAGAGATGTGTTTGCTCATATTATGTGGTCCGTCCAGAGAGGTATTCTGTCTTCAGAACGTTCAGCTCAAGTCAAGTTAAAGGATGCTTGACATTAAGCAGTACAGTGGACTGTATGGCTTACCTCCAACCGTAGTTTTCTGATTCATTCTGACACCCTATATTGTTTACCTGAGTGGAAATAATGTGCTCTTCTTGCCCTTAAATCCTAAAATTATCCTATATGAGACTTGCCATTTTGGTCAACTGGTGCTCATCTCAGATCTCTGACTCTGCTGTCTCACTCAGCCAAGCCAAATGCTCCTGCTTTTTGGGTGAGAGTTGGGATCAGGTTATGACAAATGCTTCAAATCACAACCAATAAATGTTCTAGGCAAGATGTTCTAGTCACACCAGGGGTGAGTTTTCAGGTACTGCGGTCACTCCAGGGCCACAAGTCATCCACAGTCAGTTCACGGTGCCCAGAGCTCTAGTCCCTGCTCCTTCACTCTTCCAGTTACAAAGATGGATAATGGTCCATGGAGCTAAAAAATATAAGTGAGTAAACATTCACATTGGAGACGTTCTTAAATTATCTGAGTGAAAATTTTAATATGTGCATCTCGTTTGCAAGTCTTTCTTCTTCAGTGAATGCCCTTCCCATGTCTGGAAAAAAACAAAGAGACATTGCAGTGAAATCTCAACTGTTGAAATTTTGGAAATGGAATAGAACACAAACCTCCTTGGTCGTCCAGAGAACTTGGGAGTGGGCTTACTTGGAATTCTGAGCAGCTGTCCTGCCCTCCTTGTGCCCCAGGTTCCCATCCTGTTCCTGATCCAGTAAGGGATGACTTACTGGGAGCAACTCCAGAACAAAACAAGGGATGATGGTTTCTCTCTCCAACTGGCCCAGTATTTACCCAGTGTTTTTCTAAAACATAGTCCAGGGCACTGTAATAGCTTACTGTCCAGGTGGGATGATAGCACACCAACAGAAATAGAATGGAGGCTGTGGAAATTTATTTGACTTATATTTCCCATTCAACTGCCTCTTGATACTGATCCAGATCCATCTGGTCCAGAGGATAGCACCAAGGACATCATTATCGAGATGTAAGAAAGCCATTGAGAGAACATTTTCCCTCTAGATCACTAGTGACTGCTAAATCAGCACTGTTGAAAATAGAAAAATTATTACTAGTGATAATAGCAATAAATGTAGCATTGGGATTGTAGTTACTCATTTATTATAGACAAAATGAAAATGATAATTCAATTTAAAAAATAAAAAGAAATAATCTGAATTTCTAAGTGTCTGAATCATTCCCAAGAAATTCTTTAAAAATGGAATACATAGAATCACCTCAGGGTTTGTGCTGTGCATGATGTAGCTTAGGGGAATTTGAGAGGTCTGGTCAAGACTGGGCAGCCCCTGAGAGCAATGAGGTGGACCTCAGCCTCATCTAACCTGAACAATGTCAGCACATTCAAGGAAACATAAGGCTTGAGTAAGAGCTGAGGTCTCAAATCATAGTGCCCAGATGTCCAGTTTCAGTTTAAAATTTCTCATCACACCAAGAATTAGAGTTATCTCCATTAGAGTTTTACTTTTTTATTTTAAAATGAGGAAAGAAGAAAGGGTAAAAAAGAGTATACTACTTTTTAACACAGAGTATAAGCATATTAAGAATGATTAATGAGTTAGATATATTAAAAATGTTCAAAGAAAGCAATTCTTTATTGTTGAGCTACCAGTAATTACTAGTATAATTATCATTTATAAATTATAGACAGGGATTATATATTGTGCTCCTGTTCTGTACTATATATTTAATATACATATGCTACTGTATTACATATATATCATATAGTATCTACCATGTATTGTATATATATGTTCTATATATGTATTATATACCATGTGTACTACATATACTATGTATACTACATATATTATAGAGTATTGTACATATCATCTATTATATAGCATATAAACTAGTTTATATAGTATACAGTATAGTATGTACATAGTATAGTACTATATGATCTATAAAATATATTATTTATACTCTATTGTATATATGTAGTATAGTACTTTATGTATACTATAAATTATATTCATAGTATACTATACATTATGCAATATACTGTGTTATATAATATATAGTATGTAGATATACATACAGACATACACTTACATGGACACAAATATAATCATATTTATGTATTATATATTATATTTTCCATGCTTTCTTTTTAATTTCCTTCATTACAGTTGTTCCTTCCATTTTTAGCCATTTCCTGTCCTTTCCTTTTCACAATATCTGTTGTACATTTTGGATCCCACTAAATCTTTCAGTTTTTTTTTAATCCTAGGGAGACAACACAATGTTCACCCACTTAAAGAGTCCAACTCATTTCACTCATGAGCATCATTTAAAGTTGTGTTCATTCACCTACAAGAACCTCAAGGTGATTCTTCTTCATAAATGAGTAGATTTATGGTACTATAAATTATGATAGAATTCTTATCCATTCTGCAGTTGATGGGAAATCTACCCCTGTATTATCAGGCTCCCCATTGTGTGGAACATTTTTTTTCTCTCCTTTGGATTTAGGCCTATGTATTTTCTTTTGAATTAAATGTTTTTCTTATCCAGAGCATATTGATGTATCTTATATCTTTAACCATTCTCTCTGTGTTTCTTTTTATTGTTGAATTCAGGCCATCTACATTAATGCACCGGCTTGTCTCTGTGATGCTATTTTCCTGATACTGGCTACTTCCCTTTCCTCTCCAATTTCTATCACCTTGTGCTGCTGTTCCTGGAATCAGGGTTACCTATCTCTATCTCTTTCTAGAATATCCTTTAGTATTCTTCACATGATTGGTTTGATAGTGATGCATTTTTTCAGTTGTTCTTCATCATGGAAGTATCTTACTTCACTATTACTTTTTTAAAGATAGTTTTGCAGACTACATCAATCTGGTTTGGAAGTGGTGTTCTTCAGGGCTTGAAATAGTTGTTCTCTGTGTCTTGGAACATGAGAGGGACAGAGAGCAAATTAAAGAATGAAATACCTGAAATTTCTCAATGTGAAGAATCATGTAAATATCCAGATAGAGGAAACTAAAACTTTCTCAAAAGATTAAGTCAAAATAAGGCTACAGTAAGGCATAATTAAATTGTTAGAATTCAAAAATGAATATGATCCTGAACCAGGAAGAGAAAAGAAATATGTCACATACAAGGGATACAAATGAGGCTACTATCAGATTTCTCCCAGAATCTTCCAAGCCAGGAGAAAGTGGGATGATATTTTCAAAATGCTACAGTAAAAAAGATCACTGTCAATCATGAAAAGTTTAAGGCTAGGAATAGTCGTCTAGGCCCGTGATCCCACACTTGTACAGACTGTGAGGAAAAATAATACAGAAATCATGAGTTTCAGGCCAGTGGTCTTTAGAGAAAGACATTTTGTCAAAAACAAACAAGCTAGTACGCAAGCAACCATCAAAGTTATCTGGCTAGTTGTCCCTCAGCAATGGAGGTGAGACAACAAAAGCTGAGGTAATTCAGAGCCAGTAGAATTGATTACCTTATAAGAACTGCTGAAGGAAGTTCTGTCTGAAAGAAGGGGATACAAATTAGAAATATGAAAATATGAATGAATTAACTTACTGGTGCACAGTGAATTTACAATAGTATCATACAGTAATGACTGTTTATATCAATCATATCTTTCATATGAAGTTAAAAATCTGAATTATGAAAGGTAATAAGTTCTATATTATGATAAAGTGCAAACTATATAAATGAGGAAAGTTGTAATGTAAAATGTGGCAGGGATGGAGTAAAAGTTTTCAACTTTTTTATGTGATCATAGTTGCCTCAAGTTGTATCAATTAACCTATGATAGTCTCAAGTTTATGTTTATTTATCGCTGAGTAGTACTCTATTGTATAAAAGAAACATATGTTTATCCATGTCATGTTTGATGAGCATTTGGGTTCTTTCAAGATTTAGTTATTACAAATTGTGGTGCTGTAATATGATTGCACATATGTCACTGTGGTATAATATATTTAAATCTTCTGGGAAGATACCCAGGAGGGTAATAACTTGTACCTGGGTTGAATGGTGCCTCCAATGCTAGTTTTTTTTTCTTTTTTGCAGAAGTGACACATTAGTCAGTGCAGCCACAGGGGCTGCACCAGTCTGCATTCCTACTAGGTAGGAGGAAGGATTCCTTTTCCCCATAGTCACCCCACAATTTGTTATTGGTAGATATTTTGGTGGTAGCCAATCTCTTTGGAGTGTGATGAAATCTCAGTGTTGTTTTAATTCACATTTTTGCAATGATCAATGGTGTTGAACATTTTTTCATGTTTTTATTTGCCATTTTATATTTCT